ATTAACAGCTCTTTCTTACCCCCTTGGTTGGCTCCCCTCCCTCCCTGTCCTGTCTACCTGACTACCTATCTCCTGCTTCTTGGGCTTCACTTCAAATACATGTCCTGTGGCTGGTGGTATGCTGGAGCAGCCCCGTGTCAGCTCATAAGGACTAGTTATTAAGCTTTCAAGAATGTTCTAAGCCCACTGATGTATTGGTAGCTTAAAATTAGTCATGGTATAGATAGTTATGGCACAGAAATGAGCAAATGCTAAAAATCACAGATTTTCCCCTCAGGAGAACCAGTTGTTAAATATTTACCAGCACACCACAGTCTTCAGCCTAGTCCTTGATTTTGGGTTTGTTTTGGGAGCACCAAAACTAAGTGTGAGTAGCAGGTGCCCCACTGAACCAACCCATGAGCATTTAAGGAACCAAAGAATCAAATGTGCTATGATTATTACAACAATTCCTTCACTGGCCAAATGAATGATTCCTCATTCACATAACTAGAGGAATAGGATTTGCTTCTAAATTAAGAGTTAAGGAAGGAGGTAGAGAAATTGAAAGGGAAGAAACAAAACAAAACAAAACCAGGAGCTACTGCCACTTGAAATTCATCCCAGAGGAAAATATAGAAGAAAATCTTCATGACTCTGGGTTACACAAAAATTTATTAGATAGAAACACTAAAATTTTAAGGAAAACCAGGAAAGAAAAATAAGGATAAAATGGACAACATCAAAATTAAAAGCAAAACAAAACTTTGCTCTTTAAAGATACTGTTAAGAAAATGAAAAGGAAGGCCACAGACTGGGGAAAAAGTTGCAATATATATATATGGGATTCCATATATACAAACAATGTATATGGGCTTCCTTTGTGGCTCAGCTGGTAAAGAATCCTCCTGCAACGCAGGAGACATGGGTTTGCTCCCTGGGTTGGGAAGATCCCCTCGAGAAGGGACAGGCTACTCAGTCCAGTATTCTGGCCTGGAGAATTCCATGGACTGTATAATTCATGGGGTCGCAAAAGTCAAACATACATATATCTATGTATAAAACTTGTGTTCAACAAAAATAAAGAACACTTACAACTCAAAAATAAGGAGACAAATAACCCATGCAACATTTGAACAGACACTGAAGAATATAAATGAATGAGAAATAAGATTATTAAAAAATGCTCAACATTATTAATCATTAGGAAAATGCAAGTAAAAAACCACAATGAGCTACCTCTACACACGCATTAGAATGGCTGAAATTAAAAAGATTAGCAGTATTGAGTGTTGGTGAGAAGGTGAAGCTACTAGAACATTCATCACTGGTAGGAATGAACACACTTTCCAACAAGTGTGTTGGAAAAATATTACAAAGTTGAACATACACTTGCAAACCACCCCCAGGTATTTACCCAAGAGAAATGAGACCATCTGTAGACACTAACTCTTGTACACGGATATTCATAGCATCATAATAACCTCAATCTGGAAACAACTAGATGTGGTTGGATAAAAAAACAGTGGTACAGCTGTACAAATGGATTCTGTTATTTTAGTTGCTAAGTCGTGTCCAACTCTTTCGTAAACCCATGGACTGTAGCCCACCAGGCTCCTCTGTCCATGGGATTTCCCAGGTAAGAATACTGGAGTGGGTTGCCATTTCCTTCTCCAGGGGATCTTCCTGACCCAGGGATTGAACCCATGTCACCTACACTGGCAGGCAGATTCTTTACCACTGAGCCACAAGGGAAGCCCACAAATGAATTGTATTTGGTAATAAAAGGGGATAAACTCCCTGCATATACAACCCATACACATGACTACATGGATGGATCTCAAAAGCATTATGCTAAGTGATGAAGTTTATATTGCCAGTAATAAGATCACTGCCCAACCTGCCCTCCATGTGACATGCTGAAAAGAGTATCAGGTCACTTCAGTATTTCAGCTGAACAGGTATGACCTAACCAAGTCATAAGAAAACTGAACACAAACCAAACTGGCCTGGACTCTTTACAATTAGGAGGATCATGAAAAACAAAAATTTAGGATTTGTCATGGATTGTAAGCAATTACAGAGACATACAGCTAAATGCAATGTGGGGTCCTAGGTTGGACTAGAAAAAAAAACCTGGCAAAATTTGAATAAGTTCTGTAGTCAGTTAATAGTACCATACTAATGTTAGTTATCTAGTTTTGATAACACTATTACAGTTATAGGAGACGTTATCATCAGGGGGAGCTGGGTGAAATGTATGTGGAGAATTTCTGTGTATGGTGGTAGCTCTTTCTGTAAATCTAAAATTACTTTTAGGGAGTTCCCTGGTGACTCAGTGGTGAAGAATCCTCCAGCCAGTGCAGGGGACATGGGTTCAATCCCTGGTCTGGGAAGATCCCACAGGCCTTGGGGCAACTAAACACAGCCTTGGAGCCTGCGTGCCCTAGAGTCCATGCTGCCCAACAAGAGAAGCCACCACAGTGAGAAGCCCATGCACCACAACTAGAGAGTAGCCCTCACTCGCTGCAACTAGAGAAAGCCACATACACAGCAACAGGGACCCGGTACAACCCCAAATAAATAGATTAATTAAAGATTATTTTTAAATAAGTTTTTTAAAGTGGCAATTTTTAGCATGCAAATCATACTTCAATAAAGGTGATTTAAAAAAATAAGCAGTTCCAAGCGAAGGGACTCAGCCATATATATACTTGCATCCATTCTCTCCCAAGCCCCCCTGCCATCCAGGCTGGTACAAAACATTGAACAGAGTTACCTGTGCTATACAATATGTCCTTGTTGGTTAAAGACAGTAAAATGCTAAGAATAAAATTAATCTAAGCTAAATAGAAACTGTGTATGTAGCCAGATTTCGATTAAGAAACTATACAGGCATAGTAAATGATACTGCCTGAAAAATTTATTTCAGAAGATTATACATCTACCTCTAAACAATATGTTATGGCAAACCCGGGCTTCCCTGATAGTTCAGTTGGTAAAAAATCCTCCTGCAATGTGGGAGACGCTGGTTCGACTCCTGGGTTGGGAAGATCCACTGGAGAAGGGATAGGCTATGTGCACTCCAGTATTCTTGGGCTTCCCTGGTAAAGAATCAGCTGGTAAAGAATCCGCCTACAATGCGGGAGACCTGGGTTCTATCCCTGGGTTGGGAAGATCCCCTGGAGAAGGGAACAGCTACCCACTCCAGAATTCTGGTCTGGAGAATTCCATGGACTACGTAGTCCATGGGGTCGCAAAGAGTCGGACACGACTGAGTGACTCGCATCACTTCACATGGCAAACCTATAGAGAAGAGTGAGGGAAAGATTTAAAATTAAGAAGGACAGTGGACCACTTGAGGGTGAGTGGAAGTGGCATAGAAGAATGGGGCACACTTGGGGAAAAATGGCAGTGATTATCTTCTATTTCTTAAGTTGGATACTGGTTTTTAGATATTTGTTTACTATGTTCCATGGCTTACATAAGTGTTTTATATGGTCTTCTAAATGTATCAAATTATTAAAAATGAAAAAAACATAAAAGTAAAAATTTGTGCAAATATATATATATGTATATATATATTAAGAGGTTCCAATGTAATTCAGAAAATCTGTTGTTACTTCAAGGGGCCTGAAATGAGGACACAGTGAGCACAGGAATCTTCATTCTCACATTCCCCCACCATCCCTGACCTTATGGCATGCTTCAATCAAGCATGACCTGTTTTCCCTTGTTTTATATTCATGTCTGAATACCTACATACATGCATACATAGAGATATACACATTTATTTTCCTTATGCCTTCATTCAAAAGAGGGCAGGTTACTGCTAAAAACTGCTAAATTTTTTCAATAAGAGGATTATATTTTGAAACATTCAAGTCTAACTTTTTTAAAGAAGAAACCCATCTTTAAGAAAAATGGAAGTAGGCAGGTGGTTTTAGAGATGGGTGCCGAGTCAGAGGTGTGATGCCAACAGCCGGACACAGAGTTGAGCTGGTAGATGTTGAGCGACTGACACTCCGGATGCGGGGGAAGCCCTGATATGAAGCATTTGCTGATATCTGTGGTGTAAATACCACCATCACGGCCAATGTTAGGACACTGCCGTGATGGCGAAGTTGGGAAAAGGTGGACATGCACAGTTGGCATGGTGAGCCAGGCGGAGCCATTGCCAGCACACCCACGGGGCAGATGTGGATGGGGAAGGGGTGGGGGGGCTCTGTGTATGGGTGCTTGGGAGAGAGGCCCTCACGTGTGTTTGGAGGTAGAAGGTCCTCTTTATCTGGCTGATTAAAGCCATAGACAAGTCATGTTGTCTTCATCACAGGAGAGCTAAGATGCGGAGAGATAAGAATCAGTTTGCCCTCACAAGCATGTGAGCTACACAATTAGGAATCACCCAGGGACCCAAGCCCCAAGAGGATGCTGTGCTAGAGAAGAGCGTTTTGCCTGCAGACCCCAAAGGGCGGGGCTCTGGACAAACCCAGAGGCATGTGCGTCTCATTGGCAGGATGTAAGAACCAGTCAGACTGTGGAGAAGGCCCTACATCTCAGGCCACCAGGAATGAAAGGAAGATTTTTTTTTTTAATGGATTTGGAGAAGTATGGGCAATGTCCATGCTTAATGTTTTCTAATTGACTCCTTTTCTATAATTTTGGGTTTTGAGGTCAGGAAGGACATAGCAAGGCCTATCTGTGCCTTAAGAGAGAAAATGCTCCACAGGAAGAATGACATGATCCTGACCACTCAGGAGTCTTGCAGAAAAGAGTCCCAATCAGGTGTCACAAACCTAATAGAGAAGTGAGTTATATCTGAGCTGTCCAAGCTGCCAAGCTGACACTGTCCTTCCTTCCTCTCTCCTCCTTTTCTTCCTTCCTTCCACCCTCCCTCCATTCCTTACATGAGCTACTACAGCAACATTTTTCACTGTGGCTAAAACCACTGCCTCCTTCTCAATGTGACGCAATTATTTAGGGTTTGCTGGAAGAAAGCCCACACTTATTAAGTGGCTTACCTGGATGGTGAAATTATTCAGCTGCTTTGGAATTCTCTGCCTCTTTGGCTGATGGGGTGGGGGAGAGGACAGTTTAATAAGACAAACTTATTATTAACCCCAAGACCAATTTTCCCAGGAGAATAAACCACCAAGGAGGAAGGAGTTGTATTTTTGGATTCTCTTTATGCCTAAGGCAAACAGTGGAGAATAGGGACAGCAGCCACTTTTGAAGCCCGTGGTGTATCTTTTTCTGCATCTTTCTGGTGGTCAGCCTTTCCTTGACTTGGGATGATAAAACATCAAGGTGGTATATTTGCCATACAGAGGAGAGGGGTCCTTGAAAGCTCAGGATGATTCACAATGTCCTCTGGTCATCTACAGAATGACTTCTGGGGCCTTCTTTTCCCCTTAAAATAAGAGACTTGTCTGAGGAGGTCCTTTGATGCATGAATGAGCTTCATTTTATAAATGAAAACCTGAGTTCTACTGAAGAGGGCATGGATGTTTCTGGAGGGGACAGACCAAGTCATGGGTGCCACTGCACTAGAAGCAGGTTTCAGGAACTCTTTCCAGACCAGAGGTCTTCAGAACATGCCTGCAGTAATCTGGTGATCATCTACTGTCCTAAGTTAGGAAGGCATCTATTTCCCTTTCCTCTCATTGAGACTAATGGAAGAAGGCATACTGACTATTCTTGAACTGTGAATTCAACAGGCTGGACCTGGATGATGGACTTATCCATCAGTGTTCCTTAGCTTCAGTTTCTTTTAGTAAAGAAGTGTCCAGTCACCAGCAGCTGCCTTGAAATAATTCAGTTTTGCTGCAGACGAGTCCCTCCAGGATTGTGGGACGTTCTCTGAGAGTTGATGTCTCTTATTTATAAGCAACATGTACGCAGCCTTCTCTCCCTGGAAACCTTTGAGCTGAACAATAAGCACAGGTTCTGCTGTCCTTTTCAGGGATGCTAACATCTATCTGGGGGCACAGTAACACTCCAGGTTGCCAGTACTCCTATTAGTGTTCAGTCATGTCATGTCTGACTCTTTGTGACCCTATGGACTGTAGCCTGCTAGCCTCCTCTGTCCATGGGATTCTCCAGGCAAGAATCCTGGAGTGGGTTACCATTTCCTTCTCCAGGGGATCTTTCCAACCCAGGGACCAAACCTGGGTCTCCTGCATTGCAGGTGGATTCTTTGCTCTCTGAGCCACCAGGGAAGCCCAAGATTGCCAAGGCTGTCTATGTCTAACTCAAAGCAGTTTTCCAAAGGTGCAAAGCATTAGAAAACCACACTGCTTTACCCAACAGAAGCAAAAGTATCTGCTTCATCCAAGCATATGAGAGATCAGCCTTTAGCAGCACTGGACAGAGCCCTTCGGAACCCTCCCACTGACTCTCAGGACCCTTTCTCTGTTGCCACCCCCTGCTCCTTCCAAACCAGGTGGATGGCTTTGTCATCATCAGTTCAGTTCAGTTCAGTCATTCAGTTATGTCTGACTCTTTGTGACCCCATGGACTGCAACATGCCAGGCCTCCCTGTCCATCACCAACTCCCGGGGTTTACTCAAACTCAGGTCCATTGAGTCACTGATTCCATCCAACCATCTCATCCTCTGTTGTCCCCTTCTCTTCCTGCCCTCAATCTTTCTCAGAATCAGGGTCTTTTCCAAGGAGTCAGTTCTTCGCATCAGGTGACCAAAGTATTTGTCATCATGGGCTTGCTCAAGTATTTTCTCACCTCCATTTTGTTTCTCCACTGGACTTTCCACTCCTCTCTTCACTTGCCCAATTCACTGCAAACCAGGACATGAAGAAAACTGAGACACATTCAGAATTTGCCAACCTTTATCTCAGCTCTGCCTCGCTGCTCCTGGATCCTCTGATGTGTTGCTCTGAGTGAGGGAAAGGAGGGGAGGCAGGAACCCCCCGCTACACATACGGTGTCCCTCAAGAGGCTCTGCAGGGTTTCCCACTCAGGTGTAACAACTCCAGGAAAGAGCCACCATCAGCCAGCACCTGTTACAGGTGAGGATACTGAGGCTACCTGAGATGACGTAACTTGCCCAACCACCCCCAGCAGGAAGCTCACCCGAAGCCCGGTGTGACTGCTACCCCAGGATATGCCTTCCCTTCCCCCCTCCTCCATCTCCCTAAAGGCTGCTACAAGTGCATCTGGAGTAGGGTTTGCAAAGGGACGTATATGTGAACCACATATACAATTTACAACATTTCTACTTTTTGAAGTCGTGTTTTTAGTTCAGAAAAGTAAAATCTGATATTGCTTATAGGTGGAATCTTAAAAAATGGTACAAATGAACCTATTTACAAAACAGAGTCACAGATGTAGAAAACAACCTTATGGTTACTGGGGGGAAGTGGGGGAGGGATAAATTAGGAGCTTGAGATTAACATACACACTATTATACATTGGCTTCCTTGGTGGCTCAGTGGTAAATGGTCTGCTTGCCCATTCAATCCTTGGGTCAGGAAGATCCCCTGGAGAAGGAAATGGCAACCCACTCCAACAACAGTAACAACTATGACTACTATATATACAATACAAAACAAACAAGGACCTACTGTATAACACAGAGAACTCAGTATTCTGTAATGGCCTATATGGGAATAGATTCTAAAAAAGAGAGGATATGTGTATATGCATAACTGATTCAGTTTGCTTTACACCTGAAACTAACACAACACTGTAAATCATCAATACTCCAGTAAAAATAAACTCAAAAAAGTAAAAAGAAACTAGTAAAGTTTTTAAAAAAACTGAATATATCCACATGACAATTGCACAATTATATCACATGCAATCAATATTAACCTATTAAGGTGATATTTATATACTTGTTTTCCACACAGGGGTTTGTGACCTGGTGTGTGCCACACAACAGCACATCTCAGTTGGGACTCACCATTTTTCACGGGCTCTAGAGACACCCGTGGCTGGTGGCTGCCATGATGGGTATGCATAGACAATGCCCCATTTTCCATCTCTGGGTTATTTCTTCTTAAATCACAGTGTTGTCATGGGACCCATTCCTCTGCCTTTGAGATCAACACCTTGGATTCACTTTCTGCCTTTTCTGAATCCTCTTTCTTACTTCTCCACACTCTGCCTCCTAGTGGCACGGCTGGCTGTTCTTAGGTGGTCTGCCCACCTGCCAAGTTCCCTACAGCATCACCCAAAGGTGCACCGGCCCCTCTGGCTCTCTGAATGTACCCTCTTTTTTATACCCCAGTGTTCTATATTTCCACGGTGTATGCTCCTGAAAGCATTCCAAAGCAGACCTGTCCACTCAGCACACACCCTCTCCCTCCCACCACCAGTCCTGAGTGTCGTCTTCACTTTCACAGGATCATTGAAAAGGCTTGGGATGGCCATCCACAGCTGACTGATGTGAATGGCATCACATTGGCAAGCACATAAGTGGCTTCAGCTGCGTTACTTTTACATGCCCGTCAGTCATTCCATTATTAAATATTTACTGAGTGCCCACAATGTCAGGGACAAGTTCTGAGGGGCTGAGGAAGAAGTAAGGATTATTCTCATCTGGACTCTGGCCTTTTGAAGTTTACACAGCTGTGCTTCAGAGAGGCCGTCCTGCCCTGCGTGGAGTGAGAACTCACATTTTCTGACTGAGTGTGTCCCTCTCACCGTAAGAGTCACTTCAGTCTCTTGTGATGCAGTTAGTCACCTTACGGTATCTGTAATCTGCCTACATTCTCCCCACCACCTCCATCCATCATAGACAGGTGTGCACATACAGGTACCCACACATGCACATATGCAGGGGATGGGCTGCCCGTTTGCTAAACTGCGTACTATTTGGCAGAATAACTCTCTGGACATTAAGAGAAAAGGAAAGAAGGAAGGGAGGGAGAGAGAGAGAGGAAGAGGCAAGCCAGACTGGGGCCTCTGCAAGCTCCAAGAATTTCACCTTTCGGCACTTGTCCACCATGCGACATGACAAAGCCCTGCTGAGGATGGATTCGTGGACTTCGGTAAGCATGTCCCCTTCTTTCCTTCAGTGATGCAAGATGACACGGGTGTAGGATGTCACCCAATCTTGTCTGTTCTTGTTCAAAAACAGTGACACCCAAGGTAGTCAGGGAGGGAAACTCCCCAACAGTGAGAACTCTGAGCCAATGACAGTGGAAGCAGCCAAGAAAATCCAAACATGGGGTTTTAAGAGGAGGCAGAATGAAGAAAACAAGATCTTTTGAAATGTTCAACCCGCAAGTCAGAAGTGAATGGAATCAGCTGAAATTGAATGTCATTTCATAATGAAATTATATTGGACCCCTTTGCTGGTGCCCAGAGAGCCAGCTGGTCAACAGTTAAGGAATGAATCCTGTTGAGGCACAAAATAATGGAGAGAAGTGTCACAACTGGGGGGAAATAGGAAGACACACTGTCTTCCTAAACTTCTAAGGAGATGGCCACAGAAGGAGCAGCTACACTCTAAAGACCTAGGCAGCATGGTGCGGAATGATGAAAACTTCTGTAGGCTGTACTGGGGGGTCTCCCCCCGAGCTGAGAGGTAGGTGTCTAGACAGGAACATGACAGGGATGAATTTTACTTTGCGGACACCAAAGCTGTCTGCAGGGACCTGGGGATGTGGGAGGAGAGCTGTTCCTATCTGCTTTCTCCTCTGCTAAAGGGAGAGACTTAAAGGAATCTTTCTATTCCTGGCTGAAGCCTGAGTCGCAATTTTGTATCTTATGGGAAGAGGACTGTACCCAGGTTGTACTAATAATGAGACACTCAAAGAGAAAAAAGAAGTTTTTCTAAAGATAAATCTCTAAGGAAATGGAAATCTTTTAGGTGGGAGGTAACTAAACTGAAAGTTGTTTCTGAGTCAATACAAGAGCAAGAAATGAGGAGGTGAGTAGCTTCTGACACGGTCAGCAAAATTGTCTTTTGAGTTTCGGTTTTATTTTTTATGTTTTGGCTTTTGAAATTTGGATATATTTTGAGCCCCAAGAGGGGATCAGGCAGCTGAGGTCAGGCTGTTTGGGCCTCTATGGAGTGAAGGGAAGGAAGAAAGAGGTAATTAAGGGGCCTCTCGAAAATGATCCTAGGATTCATTAGGAGAAAAGTTGAGAGTGTGTCCCAAGGGTGGGTGATCAGCAGGAGACTGGCCTTCTGTTGGACTCCTTTGGTCCCCAGAAGCCAAAGGAGCAGAGTATTCCCAGGCAAAAGATCACTTGTCCATCCAATATAGGGCAATGTGTCTCTGGAGGTCTCCAGAGGGGGCTGGGAGGGCGCAGAGCATGAAGAAAAACAAGAGGCTCATGGCAAGTTATGGCAACTCCACCAAGGAATTCAGCTTTCTACACCCATCGCAAGAGCAGGGGAAGATCACATGGATGTGGAATGGGGTAAGAGGGAGTGATCATTAATTAAAACTTAATACCACTTCTGTCTGAATTTTTGGAGAGTTCATTATATATGCGGACAATCTTCTCAACACCTTGACTGTCTATTTCTTGAATTCTTCTTGTCCTCAGATACTCATCTCTGGAATTGTACCATTGCAGACCCCGTTGTTATTAATACCTACTGTCCCTTCCCCAACCTCAAATATATCCCTTCCACCCTGATGACTTCCTCCACCTTCCAGAGTATTCCTCTAACATCCTGATTCCAACAAGCCTTTTCCTAAATAGAGCCTCCATCCTAAAGTCACGAGAACCAAAGAGAAGCTTTGCCAGGCAGAAAGACGGGAGGGTCTGGGCACATTAATGACACTGCAAAGGCATGGCACTAGCCCTTGAACTGACTCCTGTGAAGTCTCTTCCTTGAGAAAAATAGGCACCTAGGAGTTTAAGCCACTCTTCATCGAGTTTCCTATTCCTTGCAACTGGACACAAACTCCAAGGATGCAGAACCCACGAGATCCCTGAATCCTGTTCTCCTGTTTCTCCCCCACACTCGGCTGCTCTCAGACCTCACTGCCGACTGGTTCAAATGTACCTACCACTCTCACCTTTGGCCTCTGTTTGCTCTGAATTACTGCCTCGTTTAAGTTTTTCAGTCTAGTTCCTTAACTACTCATGACTTTCAAGGAACTTACTTTCTTAACCAGACTTAGCAGTGACCATGCTACACAGATATATGTCTGTCTATCAGACAAAGAGAGAAGGCTCAGGTGACATCTTGTGCGAAGACCCAATTTCATTTTGACATCATACTGCTAGTTTTTAACTTAAGTTCAAAATAAAAGGTACAAATGCATTTTCTACTTTTCTTGTCCCCACGGACACGTGTATATGTGTGCATACACACAACGCATCAAGCCCCAAGCTTCTCTAATTGTGATTTTGTGGCTACACATAAATCAAAAAGATATAATTCAATTTCCAGGTGGATGAATTCAGGTAAGTCTTTGAAAATGACAGTCAGCCCCACCCTCTCACTGGGTCTCCCTTTTCCTTGTTCTCTTTTGAGATTTGTTGAATCTTACAGGACACAACAGAAATTAGCTCAATGATACCATGGATGTTATTTTGGGTTCTCAAATGGCACATTCATAAAAGAAATGTTTTTCCTCTAAAATTTATTTTAGCTGTTGGCTTTTTAAAGAACCAGAAAGAAATATGTAAAGTAGAAAAGTTAAGAGTGGGAAAAAGGAAACTGCTGTAATTCTTTAGTTGCACCTAAAGCATCTAAATAGCATGAGCAGAAGGCAATGGCACCCCACTCCAGTACTCTTGCCTGGAGAATCCCATGGATGGAGAAGCCTGGTTGGCTGTGGTCCATGGGGTTGCTAAGAGTCGGAC